AGACAGAAGTTGCCTCTGTTTCATAATACCTTACCAAGGTATTAGCTATAAAAAGGAATGCAGATGTTTAAATTGGTGCCTGATGCTGAGCAAAACCATTGCTACAAAGGCCTGGCTCATTTCTAGCCCAGGTGACTACGTGGGCAGTTTTCACAGTGACTGCCAGGCCAGCTCTGCCACCAGGACAGCACAGCTGAGCAAAGCACACGCCTATATCCCTCTCTCCATCTGCTCCTGGGATGGCACAAACATTTCTGCAGCTGCATGGCCTGCATTCTCCCCATTGAAAGACAACAGGCAGGACCAAGCCTGTCCAAACAGCTCCTGCTGGTGGCAACAGTGGTTCAGGAGTTCCCCATATGGTCCCAAAAAAGCACCATTCCCATCCTCTTGCTGCAACAGCCTGACCAGACTGCAGCAGCCAGGCACCAAATTTACTTAGCAGTTTGGCAGAATGTGTTCCCACCACATTTTGTGCCAGGATCTGTAATCCACTGTGATTACATGTAAATCTCTTCTTCCAGCAAACTAGGGAGTTTCCAGGAAAGAAAAGTTACAACTTGAATGTTGGAAAGGGTAGGATGCCAACTAGTCCTCCGCCAAATTCAGAGATGTGAGCTACTGAGAACACAAAAAAATACCCTCCAGGAACACAGTAACTAAGTCACCGAGGACAGAACTAGAATAAATCAGTACTATGTGATCAGAGGCCAACAAGTTCTTACCACCCGGATACTCCAAGCCACAGTGGAATAGGAAATTCCCTACAAAGAATGACAGCTACCCATTCAATCCAAGGTCTGATACAGCACATTAAATACAAGCTCTAAGAATCCTCCCTTAGTAACCCACACAGGCTGTACAGTCAGGATTAGATCTCAATTCCAAGAACAACATGGTCAAGGGATTCTGCATGAAAAACTTGGATGTCACCACGAGTGGGGAAGCATTCGTTAGCTTAAGGTTCTGAAGAGCAGGTAAATCACCAGTTCTAACCTCGAGCTCTGCACAGCTGAGAAACTCTTAGAGCAAAAACCTCAGCCAGCAGCCAGGGGAACCAGTCCCTCCCCTCCCAATTAGAAGTGGTTTACATTTGTAATTACTTCAGAGGTCATCTGCTTTAGGAATCCAGACAACCACTAACCACAGGATGAACTTTTAATGCTGTCATCATCTTCTGAATCAGTTCACAGCTTCCAACCAACAGGACAGAACCGTGCCTGGAAGACATGCTGCTCTTCTCCACAGAAGGTCAACTCATGGGGCTTGAAACCACATGGAATGCAGCATGCAGGCTTTGCCTCATTTTAACAGAACACAGGAGGGATGACCCCTCACTAATCCAAAGCAGTAACACTGAGGAAACACACCTCCATAATCCAATCAGGAATGGAGAAGGTAAACTTTAATACTAATTTCTTATACAGGACACAAAAGCTGCAGTGAAACCATTTGACAGTAAAAGGGGGAAGGCTGCTAAAAACATTCACTCAGTTCTAACCAAATTCAACTTAAATGCCTCAGAACAGCCTTTAATCCCACCAATAAGTCTTTAATAAGTGTTGAACCTGTCCTAAACTACAATGCACATGGCCATGCAGAAGGTGGCAGTCCATCAACAGCCATGTGCTGCCAACTAAGCAGAAAAATGGAAAAAAAAAAGCCTAGTTATTGTCTAAAGTCTCATTCCTGTTTGAAACAAAGATCAAAGCTCTGGAGCACACACCAGAAATCTTACCTCATGTCACCAAGCTTCCTGCAGAACCTACATAGGGCTGCTGAAGTCTTCTGTCCTGCCTGGGAAAGGGTTTCCTGGGTCTTCTTATAACTAAATGGAAAAAAAATCATCAATTGAACTACTGGCTCAGACCTGAAAGTGTCCCCACACACACATTTGCAAAAGCAAAGAAGCGAGGTTAGTGAGCTGCACTGACTTCACTAAAACAGCCACTTCCAGACTTGCATACATTCAAGTATTTGGAAGTCTTCTGTCCTGCCTGGGAAAGGGTTTCCTGGGTCTTCTTATAACTAAATGGAAAAAAAATCATCAATTGAACTACTGGCTCAGACCTGAAAGTGTCCCCACACACACATTTGCAAAAGCAAAGAAGCGAGGTTAGTGAGCTGCACTGACTTCACTAAAACAGCCACTTCCAGACTTGCATACATTCAAGTATTTGAAGCTTTTAAAAAAGCAAGTGTAGGACTAACCTTTCCATACACTCACTTCACCCTTTTGACCATATGTTCTTAAATCTGACAAACATTTGTGAGTAAACCAAAGCAAAACCAATTTTCCATGTGTAAGCTCTAACACCACAGCATCATAGCCTAATTGCTCTACAACTACCTTTTGGTCTCCTTGAGAAAATCAATCTAGGAACCTATTCCATACTATCCTTGCAGCCTTGAGGAAGTAACGGTATTTGTTGTGGTGTTAGGTTATGGAGGAAAGAGGCAAGAGGCAAGGCCAACATCACCATATGGAAAACAAATGCAGGAATCAGCATTATCTCTACAACTGCAGTTTAGAAATAAATTGGTAGAGAAGTTTCCCATCAGTTACCATTAACCACAATATGTAAGAACTCTGACAGCTTGTATTTGTCAGCTGATTATTTGAGTTTATACCTGACACTTGAGAGCCTTTGTTTGCTTCAGATGAGACTAATCTCAGGAACAAAGATTCCTTGAGTCACTTTCATTAACTCATTCTCTCTAAACCATTCCACAGCTGATGATTAATACCTAGATTAATGTCATTCAAATTATATAGAAAAGACTCAGGCTGGAAGACAAGTTCAACATTTTAAACCAAATTTCCTTATTCCAAATATTTAATTTTGAGATTATTGTTTTGCCTGATGAGGACATTTAGGAGAAGGGCATTACCAACAGCCTAATGTTCCCTCATGCCTGAGCTCCCACAGCTACAAACACCACAGTGATAGCTGACTCACATCTCCTCCTCTCCAGACAGGAGTGCATGGACAGCACCACAGCACCTGAACTGGATTTGAGGAATCTTGTTTTGTTGGGGTTTTTTTTTTTGTGTAAGACCACAGCCAAGTACTTCTGAATCACAAACGTAAACAAAACTCAGGTATCAGCTTTTCCTTTGCTCTTCCTGCCCCTGAAAGAAAATTCCTACAACCTACCCATTTTTCAGACCAATTCATCTTGAATTCAACAACTCCAGAAGAACCTGAAAGTGCTCTGATGGCAAAGCCTCAACACTGTCTCTCCACAGCACAATCTTTTGCACTCAGGACAATACAGGAGTGAACTGGTCAGCATCAACACTGCTTGCTCCTACACACATCTTCCTTAGGGCAATCTGTGTTGGAGCAGAACCTCAATCCCAGGCTCCTCCCTGGCTGAACCCTGTCATGGGATTTGATTTACAGCTGCCTAACAAATATCGAAGACCTCGTGCACACCAAAGTATGCAGTGCTGACTCTAGGTCTGCTCAGCACTGATGAATGGTTTACAGCCTCAAAGGACACCATCACACCATGTACACGCCACAAGCTTCCAGGTAATGTGTCCAGCTTCAGCAGACAAAGGCCAGAGATTTTCCAGCTGAATTTCCCCACACCTGACAGCACAATTCTTAAGACAAGTGAAGATGGAGCACTCGAGTGTTGCTGCTTCTGCTCCTTCCTCCAGCACAACTGTTTGTGCTGGCACAGCAATTTAGATCAAGGAAACGATCTGGATTAAATATAAACTTGGAAGAACACAAAAGCAGCAGCCAGCTCAGATGGCCAGCCTACCCCTGCATCCACAGCTCCCACACACACGTACACACCTCGCCGTGCCAGGCAGGAGGCTGAGCCAGGGAAGCACAGGGAGATGAGCAGCTCTGTAACCCAGAACTGCCACCAGGCACACATGTGGAGCTGCATCTGTGACAACCAGGGATCAGCTTATACAAGACTTTAATGCAACTTAACTACACCCTGCCCTGACCTAGAAGTTGCAACTCTTCGCCTGCAGGCACCACATCCAGGTTTTCCAGGGCTTTAAATTCACAAGCACTCACTTTCTTCCCTTAGCACCAGCACAAAGCACAATGGAAAAAATCTAAATCTGGGAGTAATAAATAAAGCTCTCGTTAATACCTGCTTAACTAACAGGCAATTGGCTGTAGCAGAAGCTGCAGAAATGATCCCTGCCCTGTGCTGTTCATCCCGTGGTATTCCAACATTTCATTGCACCCCCCTCCTCTAAACCCTGACAGGGAGGGGCAAGACCTGTCCCCTCAAATCCTCCTCTATCATTAATACCAGGTTCCTCTCACTTGCTTTTATCCAGCAACCACCATTTGTGCTGTCTGGCTAAGTACACAAACCATCTAATTCCTCTTGCGCCCTGGTTACAGTGAAACTGGAGCTAGGAGCAGAGTGGGATGTTTTTGCCCTGTCTCTGTGCTGCTTGCAGAGGACAAGTCTGTGGCTAGGAATGGCAAACACCAGGAAATTCCACAGCACACAAAAGCACCATAAGGTCAGGAGTTAGGGCCATTCCCAGTTCAGTCAGGAGCCCTGTTAGGTTACAATGCAGAGCAATTCTGAAACAGAAAAGAGGATGTATTTGCATAAAATCCCAAAACATCATCCTTGGACTTCTTGCACTTGCCTCTTTGCATTTACTGAACTTTGGACAAAAAAGAAGAAATTCTGGTTGTTTCCTGAAACATTTCTGGAATCTCACCTTTCAATTCCTCTCACCCTCCATTTGAATCAGCTTCTGCCTTGTTAGCACCAACTGCCACTGTGCCTAGAGCCAAAGCAAGCAGGAAAACCAACTTGACACAGGCCCTAAGTGCTCCACAAAAGCACACTTCCACCACGTTTCTGGTGCTTCTGAAGTACAAGGAAACAGATAGAACCTGAAGTTTTCTATTCTAGAGGCACACCCAGGGAAGAACTCTTGAATAACACTGCTGGAGTCAGTCATGCTGCCAGCAAGCATAAAACCCAAGGTCATTCTACTTAGCAAGTAAAACAGTGACAGTTTACAGCTTCTTAATCTAGAAACCACACAGGGCACTTTGAAAGGAGACCTGCATACTTGAAAGTCTTTTCTGCTACTCCTACTTTTTACCTCTGCTCCTCTTTCACCCTTAGGAAGAAAACCTTCTATTCACACACTGCTGATAACAAGCCAGCTCCAAGGACTGCATTTCATACCCACTCCAGAGAACAGGAAAAGCTGGCTCACACCTAAGACCTACCTTACCACAGTTTAAATCAGCTCAAGAAACAATGACACTACCTACCTGCTCCCACTGCAGCTCTGTAAGGGATTGTGGGAAAAGGACAGCAAGAAGGACAAAGGCCAACTTCCATAATATCCTTCCATAATCTAGTCCAGATGAGAATTTAATTTCAGACCTTTAATAAAAATATGGCGAAGATAGCTTTCCAGTCAACAACTAGAGTAGAACAGCTGGGAGGTTTAAACTGTTTGAGTCCATTTGTGGCCCCAACATCACAGAACAGCTGCTCTAGATACTATGGCTCTGTTTGTTCTCATCAGGTACCACAGCAGAAAGCAAAAGCTCCTGCTCCCTGCAGAGCACGTCAGGGTAACAAGAAAAGCTCAGCCTGGCTGTTCCACAGTTTCTCAGCTGAAGGTATAACATGCAGCACATAGGTCTCAGCTACCCAGGGGTTTCAGCCAGCCCTTGAGGCATTTGTAGAGTATCACTTGGACCACAATGAAATCATTTGAACACTGACCTGAGGAAGAGCTCCCTCACCCAGAAGAGGCATTTATTGAGTTAAAAAAAAAGAAAAAAGTAACAGCTAGAAAAGATAAATGCCTAAACAGATCTAATGAAAGCAGAAGACTGGGAGCAGGGGCAGAGCACAGAACATTAGTGGCAGCAGTCTGTCAGGAAAGCAGTTGTTAATGCTGAAGGTTAAGACACTCACGCTTCTGATTGAGTTAATTTCTCATTCCAGTCCTCCAGTGTGCTGCTGGCTGAAAGATATCTACAAACACAACGGAGGTTAGACAGTGCCAAGATTCACTACAGATGCTTCTTTTGACACTTTCCACATTATTAGTGACTCTTTACACTTACAGTATCAGAGGCTTTATTTCTTTGACAACAGCTTCTCCCCTCTCTATTACAGCCAGAAGGAAAAGAGGTGTTTGAGAGACAGGGTGACACCTAAGCCCCAGTTTCTTTTATTAAAGCACATTCAAACACTGAGCACAAAGAAACAAAGCCTGCAGTTCAGAAGGTGTCAGGATTTGAAAGACTTTGCATCTCCTGCTCCCTTCCTACATGCTGTGTGGCAGCTCTGCATTAAAAGCATAGAGCAGTGAACTGAGCTCCAGGCCAAAAAAAAATCAGACTGCCACACCCAAAGCTGTACTTCACCAATACAGCATGACCTGGACAAAGTTAAACTGAGTTTTGTTTTCTAATCTCTAGAAACCACATTTCTCTACACACAAAACAGTACCCTAGGGGTTGCAAGAACTGACTCTGGAAGTACAGAACACAAGCACTAGAGTGTGGCTATTCCCAGCACAGAGCACAGAGGTGCTTAGAGGAGGTGACACATCACAGGCAGTTCATGTCACCCAAGATTCACTCGTCCCAATTAAAACATTGCCACCTTGTCTAACAATGGGATGCTGCCAATCCACATTGTCCTCTTCACTAAATATGCAGCTCCTTCAACACAAGACGGAGGGAGAAAAACTTCAGTGCAGAAAACATTCAAGGGCTCCCTCAGGTT